TGTTATGGATTTGGTTGATTGTCTTTTTGGACTGGTGAATCCAATGGGTCTGCACCCTTTGCCATTGTTTTGAAAACAAGTGCATATCTGGTGTTCTGTTAACTCCTGCTGGTTTTCTCTTTAAGATGGTCGTGAACAATCACTGTTTTGTGGAATGGAAAGAGCAGTTTGTTTCACAGGAGCATGGTAATCGTGTGGTTCACTATTAAGGATGCTGCTGGAGAATCTATCACAGCCACTTATCACCCTCACACAGCCACGTATTACCCTCACACAGTCACGTAGCTAACTTCAGTCCACCCTGTCAGCTGCTCCGTTAAAAAATCAACGACGTTTCCAAAAAGGACTTGATTGCACACTTTTTACAAAAATTAGGACCACATTGAACTTCAAAAAAAAGGTAGGACCAAATTGAACATTTGCCCCCTTTCGAGGGACCAAAAGAGGTATTAAACCAAAAAAGAACAATGATACACATAGACCTTAATTTTGTTACACATATACACATTTATTTTCTTTTATCATATCATATTACCTTAGCTGGAAACTTATTTTTTTTCTCTAATTGTATAGTAAGTATTGTTTTGAGGGAAAATATTTATAATTACTATTGTTATTTAAGTTAATTTATTGCAAAACTATGGCTTTCTATGGCAACTCTTCCTAATTAATAAAATAAGAGTTTAACTTACGTATATGGCTGGTGTAATTGATGAGAATATTAATCAATCATAAATCATGCTAATAAAATCTTTAAGTTGGATCGAGTGAGAAATTTTAAAATTTTGAGAATTTGGTGATGTTTGTAATTGGTACTGTTTTAATTTAAGTTTATAAATTTCAAATTTTTCTTTGTATGAATCAATTCAAACCTTTTTAATTTAAATTTCTTAATTTAGACACGGTAATTTAATTTCCAGTGTATATAAAAAATAAAAAACTAAATACAAATTTAAGAAGTTAATTTTAGTGACAACTTTTACTTTTAAATATATAATTTTTGAGGAGTAAAAACAAAAATATCGTAAAAAAAAATACTTAGATGTCAGAGAAAAAGAGCAACAATAATTTAAAATTCTTATATTTGTGAAATTTACAATTAAATAATTAAAATACTCTTATAATTTTATATTTTTAATTTTTTTTACCTAAATAACATATTTCGTCATCAAATACTTTAAATTTCTAAAATATTGAATAATCCTTTAAAAAATACTTCATCCGAATACAGTATTAAAGTAATTATTATAAAAATCATCAAATTTATGAATATATTTAAATTGAACTCATGTAACCTCATGTAAAACAAAAAGAGTTCAGCTTTTATTGCTACCTAACTTCGTTTTTGATCCGTGAAGTTTTTTGGCCGACCTCCACTTGGTAACTTATATATTTTTTAAAATTACTAAACGTACATTTATGCTGTCAAAGAATAGCAGACATTTCAGCTATTAGGTAAGCAATTTTTCGTAATTTTCCCGTAGTTATTATTTGTAGAGTTGTAAAATAAAAATGAGATGCATGGGGGCAAAAGTTTGACAGACCAAAGAGAAGGCGCATAAGTTCTGTTTGGGATATAAATATGATCTTATAATTGACCCTCAACCGTTTAGCTTACTCTCCCAAAAACATAACGAACAGGTACACGTGTGAAGTCCAGAAATGGATATCTATATCCTACATTCGAACCTCAAAACTGTTAAGCTTACCGTCCCTCTCTAATCCCGTCTTCTTCAACCTCCCAAAAAAAATTAATAAAGACATGTAAACTCAAAAAATTTCCCTCCCCGTCATGTGGAGAGGGGTGCAATGGATTCATCAAATAAACTAGGTGAACTCATTGCTAGATCAAAGGCAGGGAGAATATACTAAGGCCATGAGATATGTCTTGATGTCAACTTTGACTCAACAAAATCTCCCAATAAATTAGAATAGAGTACGTGTAGAATCAATTCAGATTCTTCTCCTTCTAAAGGTTCTCCTTGTAAAGGGATGTATTGAAGGTCAGATAACAGATGTAAATGGTAGTCCCTAAACAATAAAGACATCAACTGCACAAACTTGAGTGAGTTATTTGCCGATGAGCTTATTGTAGGCAAATAAACCAGAGCCCACAAAACCCAGAAGTTGCCCCACTACATTCCACTGCAACAAAAACGCATATGAACAAGAAAAATACCTCGAATGATAAAAAATCAGTCGGGACAAGAGTACTCACAAAATCAAATGGTAGCCCACCAAAAATTATCCAGCCAAAGCTAATAGTGAATAGATCCTGGACATTTATATATTCAGAATATTTAGAGTCCGTGCATAAAATTCAAATACAGTCTTTAATTATTGCAATAATCTAAAATGAATGTAAGGACTGTAGAAATGAGTTTACACCACAATATATACCTTAATCCAATTAAAATGAAGATATTGTGGTAAGTTTTAAGTAGGCAGCGTTAGGTAAACATATTCTATCTTTGTTGTATTCTAAAATAAAAAACAAAGCACAATGTTGTGTTGAGAAGTGGCATATTTTTATTCAATAAAAAGGAGAGCAACCAAAGATAAAATCCTACTCTAGCACTATGTCTTAATTAAAGGTTTCCAATGTCAATCAAAGATCATTACTATGACCCATCAATCAGAAACAACTGTTCTGCACTAATATGCTAAGTTATGTTTCTTTTTCATCAATTGTTTAATGAACATTTATAATTCAAATATATCCTCTCTGATGAATACGAGAGCCAAATTCATATTTAAATACCCCTCACTATTCAGAGAGTACAGTTTGAATTACTTCACAACCAAGCGCACCCCCATCCTCTTAACAAGAACCAACGTCCATAAGCAATTAATAATTCCTTATACTTGCTCCCTCTCTCTCTCTCATTCCACACCAAAAAGTACTAGTAGATTTCCCCAGTTTCCAAGTTTTAATAGGCAAGAAGTGCACCAACGCACCTCTGTTTCTACCCTAACATTGGTCAAATTTTTAATTTACCAGAAAATATTGACTCCACCCACTTAGTCCTTGCAAAAATCAATGCAGTAATTAGGTACTATGATGACACCATAAAATAGAACGCTTATACATTATCAGTGCCAATCTGGAACAATACAAAACACATTTATGGCAACACCGCTAACGACTGAACAAACCTTCAGATTACCACATATTGTCTGAGTCAGAGCTGAATTGAGAGTTGTGTTCAGAAAAATACTGTAATTCAGGAAGAAAGCAAGTATGCAGGAAAAAAGTAAAACAACCTGCACCCAAAACACATAAAAACACAGCTTGTCAAATATAAATATTAAGAGGAATCTTGATTTAAAACTTGAACCAGATTGCTATAACCCATTCAGCAGTTGTTTCTCTATGATCAAACGTTATGGACATTTAAATTGATGGAAACAAAATACTTTGGTCACGCAGTTAAAATGAGCCAAAATGCTCCAGCAGATTGCTACAAAATACCATCAAATTGTCAACAGAATAGCCATGTGGAACACATGATAGAAATCAGACTAGGTCTGTTTGCACTTTTTCAAGTATACTTTACTACCTAAGTATATAACCCTCTTTCCAACAAAATGAGACAGAAAATAGCTCAAGCTATAAAAATGCAGAAGAGGGAAGAAGAAATTTGATTATATGATTAATTCTAGACAACTTGAAGGATAGAAAAAAGTATATTTTGGCAAATAACTCAATACTGCTAATTAGTAAATGGAGAAAGCCCGAGCATAACATACAATAAAACCAGGTGAAAAAAGGTATGGAAAGTTGAGTGTCATCTTCAAGTCACCCCGTACTAACGTCCAAATAACCAAAAAGGGCCCACATATGATACCTATATCACAAGAAAAAAATATTTCAAGTCACAGAGATGTTAAAAGAAAACCAAGCGTGATTTCTTTTACCAGGAAAATAAAAGTTTGATAGGCCATTTTATACAATCGATCAGCTTACCATTGCACCACATAAGGCCAAAGCTATTAAGGCCACTAGTTTTTCCTGAAAAAAGACACAATGCAAAAAAAATAAGAAACAGCAGTCCAACTACACGGACAAAGGTATAGAACTTCCAGTTTCTGAACGAGAGACAGGATAGGAATACAACCAACACGGGCTATCATTGCAAGATATATAGCTGTACTGATGTTTGACAGGAAAACAATGGCATAGCCATAGGCATCAAAGGAGAAATCCCGTGCTCCCGCAATAAATGCACCGAAGACAATCAAGCCAACACTGATAACAACCTTACAAATTTCAGTTAAATGAAGGAATCAGGGAGATGCTCAATCAAAGAACAATTTTGAAATTTAACTTCATTGAGTTATAATGGAAAAAGGGAGAGATATACAAATAAACAGATAACCATTTATTTTTCTTTTGAATAAAGACTCAGTTTGGGCCTCCAAAGAAACATGAGTCATTACAAAACATCAGTACCTAAAAAGTTTTAGCCACCAAATTAATCCTTCAGATTCTTTTTTCGCTGCTTTAGTCCTCAAAATATTGTCACTAAATTAGTCTCCCAATGCCCTTTCTTGCAAAAGGCTATTGGGCTTAGGTATCGACAATGCACAATGCACAATGCACGAGCCTAACCACTTGGTTGTAGAGTGTCAAATTCTATGTTAGGATAAGCTATTAGGAGAAGAGACATGAATGGTTTATTATATTTCTAGGACTGTGGAACATTTTCCACTCTACCTAAATTATACATTCATCATGCCTCACCAAATTTCACATGCATTAAATCATCAAAGATTTATTTGAGCACAATACGGATCTGTAATTCTGTATGTCATATCATGCAATTGGAAAAGGGTAATCTACCTGAAAGTGACAGAAGATGTGTACCTATTCCCCATCAGCATATATTCTACAAGCATTGTAAATACCACTGTGGTCCTCCTAAGGGTGGTGTACATTGGAACATTTACTCCACGAACAGACTCCATGGTGACTAACTTTTGAACAGAAGTGAATGAAAAAATAAAAAACAGAAAAAATTACAATAGAAATTTTTTCCTACAAATAAAAGGAAGGGCATACCATGTAAAGTAAATATGCTCCTGCTAGAGGAAGAGTGTGCTTCAAAGTCCTCAGTGGCACAAACTTCTTCGAGTTATCTGCTGTAATAACTGATTCGCCTGCTATGAGAGAAATCATCCTCCAGCGCCTCAATACATAAAGAAAACAACATGAACATACCATCTGCAGTGGTAAGAAGCATAGAATTATGTTTAAAAGTATGAAAAAGGTCTAATGGAGATCCAGGATGATTTTATTTGTATTCAAGTTGCAGGGCCAGAGTGGTCAACCAAGGTATAGAAACCACACACTTTCCTACATATTTTACATTTAATATATCATTTCTATATCAAATGTGTGAAATGTAGCTTTTGCATTATTTCTTTAACTAACTTGGATAAACCTTAATTTAAGAACTTCAACTACTGTACGGATTTTGTTTGATTGCAAGAAACCTAAGTTTCAGTTGAGAAAGAAGCTCAGAAGCATGGATAGAGCAAAACAGAGGAAGATATGAACAATAGCAGACTGGGAAAAATAGTGAGAGTCAATAAATAAAGCGAAAATGAGAGCTTAGTGTAGCACAGTCAATTTATAGATTAAACCTCCATTTTAATCTCCTAAATGGGAAGGGAGGACAAATTTTTGTTTTCAAAAAAATATTCTCTAGTTTGATAAATTTTTAAGATTAAAGAAATAAAATGATAAATTAGTATACACTTAGAGTTTAATTACTATGTACTGTCAATAGATAAATAGTCATCATATGATATCTAAGGTAGTTATTGAAAAATTTAACAAATTATTATTCATGACTGTCCATGAATAGATGATAGTGAAAGAATCCTTTACACTCAGTGCATATACTATTTACCCATAAATTAGTTTAATTTTCATGCAGTGGAAAAAAATTAAATACAGCAAACAATCAAGAATAATCATAAATATGACATTTAAAGTACTTATTAAAAAAATTACAAACTAATCTTTCATGGCAAGTTATGATTGGATTATAGCCATTGAAAATTTGCGACTGGAAGTCAATGCACGATAATTTGTGATTGTATTATGGTGTAAAAACCTTTACATCATTTGTGCATTCAATTTAAATTCTAAATGTGTCCCCCCTCTTCCCTTTTCCCTCCAAACATACCCTAAAGCCACATGAGTCATCATTTTGGTCCTCCAAAGAACTTTGACATAAATTTTATCCCTTAATCATGGAAAGTGGCATCAAGGTGAAAGTTTAACCTAATTTACATGTCCCGTAGATTGATTCTCAATCACTGAGAAATTAAGGACTGTAACACGAGAATAATTAGCCAAGCTTTCTTGTAGTCAGAAGATGAGGAAAAAGATATTTTTTTTTATCAATTGTATTCTTGGTTTTAAGAACAATTGAGAACAAAGTTATTTTAGTTACACTTTCAAGCAAGTGATGCCACAAATTAAATTACAATGTTTTTCCCTGAAGAAAAGTGTCAAGCTCTGTCACACAGCTTCCTAAAACCAAGAAAAACCAAATAAATCCTTCAAACTGTTACTCTTTCATCTAAGTTCTTAAAATATACGTTAACGTTATCACTTCAAATCACATGTTGCATGTAAAAGAGATTGACTGATTGATTGCAGTTCCGAGGACTTTCTTTCCATTTTCTCAGCACCTAACAGTTTCAGGACCAAACAGGTGATTTGCCCTTACATCAAATATATTATGAACCTGATCATAGTCCAATTCCAACCATTTGATTTCAACCTTTGGCAAACAAAGGAGTCCCAGACATTTTCCTCCCCCGACATTCTAGTCCAGTTCATAATTTCCTATTGTTCAGAGTGGAGAGAACTATAATTTTAATCCAAATAATAATAATGAAAATTAAAATGCAGAACAACCTGAAGAAGCGTGACGATACTCGAAGACGGGAAGTCATAGGAGGAAAGAACAGCTTTATTGAACAGTATCAAGAGCACTACAAGGCAACAAAAACCTGAGATTAGCAAGTACTTAATCAAAATGTAAAAGCACGCGGAAATTTTTGCGATTAGTTAAATAATTGGAGAATTAAAAGAATACAAAATGCACCAAAAGCTGAATAATAAGAGTGAGCTGAACCTGCACATGACATGTAAGAGATGGCAGCGTAAATCCTTCGTCCTCGGAAGGTCTTACTATCGCTCTTCAAAAGCCTCTCTCTGTCTTCTTCGTTGGGAGGATCGGATACCGGAAGCATCAGATTCTCCGCCGAATAGGACGGTTTTAGAGGCATTCCGCAATTCTCAAACCTCGATATCTGAGTTTCGCGATTCGGAACTAGCGATTAGGAACTAAACTCGGTTCCTCCACTTCTCATATGGCGCTGCCGAAACCCGCCGGCGTCTCTCTCTTCTCCGATTCAGATTCAAGATACCGATTGGTAAAAGGGAGATGAGAAATTATTTCTTAGCACAATATTTTATAAACTTTTTAAATTAGGGAAAATAATAAGAACGAAGGGCGAATTGTGAGACGAAGAGAGAAATAGATGAACAAACATGTTGAAAAATAATCTTAAAAAGGAATGTCCACTCTCTTTTAAATATTTTTATCTTTTTAAGTTAAATTACTACACTACCTTATCTAATTTCTAATTTTAATTATATTTTTAAAACAAGCCGTATCTTATTACATGTAAAATTAACTTGATTTTTTACTACATACTCAAACAGTTTTTTACTACACTATCAGTAAATACAGAGACACGGTTGAATGTTTTTAGACTAAGTCTCTTTTCAAATTTAGCAGGAATATATATAAAAGTTTTTATATATAGTGTTTTTTTCCCTAGGAAAATGTGTGAGAAACAGCTTTAAAATTTAAAAGTTGTCTTACTACCTTTTATTTGGAAGGACTTCTCTGTTTACTCTGAATTTTCAGCAGCTATATTAACAAGAGAGCTCCAAAAGAATGCAGATTTTGTAGCAGTTTAATAGGACAACACGTAAAAGAAAGATCAGAAATGTCTTCACTTTGTTTCCTCTAGAAAGAAAGTTGTCCAGGATTTTTATGAGAAATTAAAGCAGGTAATCATGATTTGCACATATATAATAATTATGGTTTGCAATAAAGAGTTTGATTTAACATTACCATAGTCAATGTTCCTGACAACAATCAACAAGGATTTCCATGCATGCTTTGGCTATTGTGCTTTCACATTATCAGTTCAATTCAATTTCTTAAACATCTAGTTGCTTGGTTCAGCAGTTGAAGGCATATCGAATATATGCAACTCACAAAATGAATCTGAGAGGCTATTGCCTATATTTATTTGCTCCATGCCATTATTAATTATCCATGCTTCACGCACTAAAAAAAATGAAAGAGATTAATAACTATTATAATTAAAGAATTCAAACCAAATGGAATGAGGTAACTCGTTTTGAAAGTATGAGTTACTTACTTAAACGAAGAATAAGTGCTTCCCATAAGACCAAAGTTTTGTTGTCCTTTAGTCGAAGACAAAGTTAGGCACAACAAAATTTGGTTTGGGAACTCAAAAAAACATAGTGATAATGTGTCGATGCACATCGTTTCCTTGAAGTGGGCCATCGAATAAACTTTAGAACAGAATCTTTTCGCCTTCCAGATTCGAGAGGGACATCGAATCCATCGGTTCACATTGCTACTCTGTTAAAATCAATTTTATATTTCCAAACTTTATTTCACCTATCAAGAAGAGGATAGCTTTTAATTTTAACCAGATAATACAAAATTCATTTTAAAGCAACCAAAAGTATATAATATTTGCATTCCCAAATTTCGTAAATATTTATTACTTTTAATTTCTTAAATATTACATAAAATTAAAAAACCTGAACATGTAATAAAAGCTTCATAATATAACTTACCAATGACCATTAAAAATAGAAAAATGAAGTTAGGAAAACTTCTAAAAATGTAAGATGTTCGAAAGGTGGGTGAGTTCATGCTCTTTAATATCTGGAATTGAAAATGAAATGTCTTATATAAAATTGAGTGAGAAATATTTAAAATATGAAGTTAAATTATAAACTTAAATTTGTAAATATTTTTGGAAGTGGAGTTACATTACAAAGACTCTAAAATAAAGTTAAATTAGAAATGTTAAAAATCTAGAGATAAGATGAAGAGTTTTAAGGATCAACAGTCCAATGTTAGAATTCAAAAAGTAATTAAGTTGACAAGTTATCATATACAAATAAATTTTAACAAAAGAATGCAATAATTTTAAAAAAAAAATTAAATGAAAAAAATACAAAATACAAGATTTTGAATATTTTAAAACGAACTTATTCAATTATTTAGTTTATATTCAATTCATGATTATGTTTTTTAGTATAAAATTAGTTAATAGTATTTTACTACGAGAATACTTTTTTTTTCACCGTTAAAATTATGTTATAAATACAGATAAAAACTAACATATAAAACAATATAAGTATTCTGTCCATCTAAAGTTTGTGTAATTTTTTTTTTTACTTTTTATCTAACTCGTTTTTCCCTTAAATAAATTAAGCCTAATTGCACCCATATGACGCACTCCAACGGAAACTTTCGAAAAGATTTTTCCATAAAAATATAAATGTTTCCATATATTGCTTCAAAGATTACATCATAAATACACCCAAACGAGGAGGTGTCCTACTCTAGTAGATAAATATTCACTGTTTCATTATCGAACATGATATATATTTTGATATTCAATATTTTTTTACACAGTACCCTTCGTTATAAAAAGTGTTAATTAAAGTAGAAAATTATCACTAATTTTGATTATAAATTTAAAATCCTGATTAGAGGGTAAAAGTTGAGTTAGGTTTTATATTTTTAGGAATTAATTGTTAGAATAACACACAATCATTGCATACTATTCTATGTGTTTTTTTTTTCTTTTATAAATACAAAATTTTATTATTTTATGATAGTTTTGAGTGTAGAGTCTTGGTTATAATATTCCAACTTTTAAATCGTATGGACGGATACATCTTAAAGAAATATCATTATCACAATAAAACTTCAAATTCACAATAAATGCAATCAGTTATCTTTTTACTTTATCTATGTGTTTATACGTTTCGAAATAGACTTTTAATTAAAATTAAAAAAAAACTTATATAAATGTGATAAATGTGTTCAAATCAAAGCAACAATTCAGTTTGAAAATAAATAAGGGAGAGTGAAAATGATCCTGTTATGATCATTTGAAAACATACAGTCCTATGGTATGTTGAGTATTTTATTCTTATAATAGATGTAAAATGAAATGAATGTAAAGATGTTTGAGAGAATTACTGTAATCGTTATCCTGAAAAGTAAGATTGAGGAGAGACAAAGGTGGGAGTTGTGAAGAGCGATGGTTACCCAAGTGTTGGATATGGTGAGTTGTAGAGAGTGGGAGCAGTAATCAATGCCAGGTAAAGGGCAAGCAAGGAATTAGACCTATCATATTTATAGGGTCCTACTACTTCAACTTTGCAACCTTCACCGCACCACAACCAGATACAACCTCTTCCACTGCTCGTGCAGTCTTCACTGAATACCATAATCTCCCATTTCCCTTGCACCATCACGTGGCCTTCACTACCTCTTAACCTGGCTGGACCAGCACTCCATTTTCCTCTATTCATAGCCCTACACTACCATTCTCTTTTCGACCATATACCTAACCATGCTACATACCTTTCTCCACCACTATTTTCAAACATAATCTAAAACAAACTATTCTTTACGACACTAACATGGTACCAGGTACCTAAGGGATTAATTAATTACTAATCAACCAATTAATTAAAAGATCAAACCAAGGTGAAGCGTATGTGCATCAGTGGAAATAGGTAAGTTCTGAGTTCTTCTAAAATCATGATACGTTTGACGGACATCAACCGACACATTGGACTTATTAGCAAACAATATCAACAGGTGCATGAACTGCTAAACATTTTTTATTTTGTTTGGAAGCTACCTCTTCCGTAATCACAAATCGTATTTTTCGTTTGCTACATGAGTTTGATACAAGTTCAACATCATTAATCAGAATCCGAGGGAGGCGACACAAAATTTGACACACGATGTTAGGCTATAAAGAGATTCCACTGGAAAAAGAAAAAGAAAACCAATCGTATCATAAACAAATACAAGTTGTTCCGTTTTGATAAATAATATAAAATTATATCACATTATATTATGTTATATATATCTATCTCTGCATTCTTTCTGCTTATCTGTCTGTGTCTCATTTATCTTGAAATGGATATCAACACATCGTGTTTCCAAGATTAGATTCCAGTTGATGAACCTAATCTCTAATCTTTTCAGAATGATCATCTTCACCCGATTACGGTTTTAACGAATGCGATAGTTTCCTAAAACATTAATACATGATTATTATTATACTAAGTATATAATAATTAACCAAAGCAATGAAAAAACTTCTAGAGAGAGAATATATATGTGTAGTGGGGACACATGTAGGAAAATTGAGACAACTAAAAGAAAGCGGGTAAAGTGGTTGTGGCACGTTGGTGCTCTCATTCCTCAACTAGCTTATAATGCTGCTTCACTTTTAGCCGACCCACCTTCCATGTTGTCTTTAACTATCCTTCTTCCATAAGACAGTGGTCCTTTTCATTCTTATGCCTCACTCACACATGCACACAAGAACATACACACACATAAATATATATATATATATATATATATATATATATACTTATTGCAAGTCTCAAAGGTCTAATAATAATCTCAATAACTTTTGAGAAGGCTAGGAGTGATCTATATCTAACTTTGAGAATAGCCCATATAAATGTTCGACTGTGCCCGTTGCATATATCCTAGGTAGCTTCTTCGTTATACCACGTGCATATGGAACTTCAGTTAGGTCTTGCTCTCCCCACTCACAACTCCGCCGAGGAATTCAAGCTCAGCAAGTCCAAACAAATAGTGAGTTCAGAGTTATGGAGACCCAGTTGCGGTTCTGAAAGTGGAAAGCATGTCAAACACAAGCGCAACTTTGAAGAGTCCTTTGAACGTTTTCTGAAACCTTTCCCTTTACTAGTATGGAGTGGGCAGCCAAATGAAGAAGATGACCGTAGTCAAAAAGTGAGAAGAAACATTCACACACCCAACGAGTAAGTTCTGTTTCTTTCTATTTCCAGCTTTTCTTACCCTTCTAAAAGTAGCTTCCCCAAGTAGAAATTAACATTTGGATCATATATACACACCTCTCGGTAAAAGACAACACTCAGATACAGTTCTATAAATATGTGTTGTTCTTCTATCAAAATTGGACTTAGTTGACCTTTAGTATATTTGTATTATACATATTATCAAGATAAAACTTCAATTGATCATAGAATAATTGCACTGTTTTGTTCTCAGTACAGGAGAATTAAACTTTCTAAAAATGAGAAGCTATATATATGTCTTACTTTTACTTTTATCATGTATACACAGGAACCGTAGTGAAGAAAACCATTTGGTGGGGTGGCCACCAGTTAAGTCATGGAGGAGGAAAGAACTTCATCAGCATCAACCTGCAAGAGGCCAAATCAGGAACGATAGGATTCAAGCTAACGGGAATCAAAGTAGAGGACCAAACTCTTTATATGTCAAAGTTAACATGGAAGGGGTAACCATAGGAAGGAAAATCAATCTGAGGCTTTTCAACTCGTATAAAACACTTACAAACGCCTTGATCAACATGTTTGCTAAATGTAAGTGAATAGTTCTGCATTTTTTTCTTAGTGTGTACAGTGGATTTTGTTTTTGATTTTGTCCATACACTTTATATTTATGCAGACCAAAAATTGGAGGAGGCTGGAGAAAGTTACACACTCACCTTTCGAAACGAGCAAGGAGATTGGCTGCAAGTAGGACATGTTCCATGGCAGTAAGTGTATATTTTACATATAGATTGATTATTTGGATAAAAAAAGTGAGAGTTTGGGAATATTATGATGTTAAGGTATCTAAAGAACAACAGCACTTTGTCGATTTGCAGATCATTTATTGATACAGTGCGGCGTTTGGTGCTACTGAAGAATGGAAGTGAAACTATTTGATAGAGTTTATAATTTTGCTATGATGCTGTTTATGGTGCTCCCTTCGGGGAAAAAGTATTTGCTTTGAAAAGGTTGTAGAGAGCAAAAGCCTCAATATATATGAAAAGTTGGATTTCAAGTAACTGCTTCAACTTTAATTCTTTAATAATAACTTTGTGTCGTTTCAGTCACAAGTAACCTGATCGCACTTTCACATTTTCTGAGTGATCCTTTGTATCAGTAGAAATATTGCATTATAGTAAGGTAGCAGAAGTATTTATCAAGAAGTTGGTATCCAAAGGCATTCCTCTGCTGCCAGTAGTAACAGCAGTGAGACATGTGTTGCAGTTGTCTTACCTAGTTTGTGATTCCACAACCTTGTTCTTCCCATACAAATTACTGTAACTCACTGCACACTTTTCTTTGTGATCAAGGATTGTCTTCAACACAGTAAATTGGTTATGTCTTGTTTTGTTCACTTGATATTTTTGGTGAAATGCTTTCAATTTAGTAACATTAATTGTTTAAATTTTAGTAAGAGTTACAATTATTTATATGTAATCAGTTATACCTTTAGTATTTTACTCCATTTTTATTTAAATGCTAGACACGTATCCTTTCTGGTCACAATTAAACTAACAAAGTTGTTTATTCTTGTACTACTTTTCAAGTCACAAAAGATGCCAGTTTCGCACAAAATCTTGAAATGATTGACAATAATCTAAAAATTACAATATTAAAGTGGAAATAATTGAAAAACTAATAAGGAACCATTTATGGGTATGTAATTTGCATAAGTTTAATTGTAGTGAAATTGTAATATCTTGTTTAAACCTTTTTTTTTCTTAAGGAGTTGGTAAATTATTTTTTCATTTCACGTACTTCTACTTCATGATACTCGTTTTCTTTCGTCTTCTACAGAAAGATGGAGTTTTTGCATAAGATTATTTGACACTCAAATTAGTATTTTGGTTAAAGATTCTAATTAAAATTGAATTATTGCAAAAAGTGAACTTGAATGGGTCTCTTGAGTCTATTGGCCCATGAACCCAATGACCAACTTATATGTGACAAACGACAATTATTTTTGGTTAAATTACCTAATGCGATAATGTCTTCCCGAAACAAGCATATGTATTAGTAGGTGGCGCGGCACCCTGTTCTAGTGAGGAGTATGCTTATTAGATAATCAGTGTAGTCTTTGGTTCACGAAACATAATATTCACTATTCGATCATTGGTATCCACTGTATGTAACATTAAACTTACTCCTTTATAAATACAATATGTGATATCATAAATAGTCCATCCATAACAAAGTGTTCGGTGATCATCCTACTTGCTACAACCTAGTAGTGTAGATACCCAATAAATAGTATCCTATATTAGTGTGTTAGATAACTATTTTGAGACTATAATTGATAGGGCCGAATGTTCGACTACGAACAATACACTTTTCTTTCTTAAGAAACAAAGTATGATATTTTACTTTTATACATGCAGTTGTTTTGTCTATTATTGGTTCCCCTTTTTCGTTTGTCCATTAAATTAAACTGAGTAATGGCAGCCTTAAAATCACCACAAATTTAGTTCCAACAATTTTTTCTCTGATATGTCACGCCATTGAATATAATTGTCATTGAAGTGTAGATACCTAACTTCACATCCACTTTGACTACAGTGGTTGTGGTTGATTAGAGTGTTTTCAGATAAAACAATTCTATTATTTATTTTATCTCTCTGAAATGTCTTACTCCCTTTGACTCCATCGTTCTCAAAAAAAACTGAAATCTTTTCAGTTCAAATAAAAAGCTAAAAAAGGAAAGAAGAAAAATTAATATAAATTACTTAACACGGTGAAAGTCTTTTCACTATGTTTTCTTAGTTTCTGTTGACATTTGAAAATTGGTTGAATTCAATTTGTTTTGATTAATAAAAAACTTGGAAATAAATATATCATCAAAAATTAAAAAGTCGATCGATCACGGTGGGACTCGAACCCACAATCTCCCGCTCCGGAGGCGAGCGCCTTATCCATTAGGCCACGCGACCTTTTCATGCTGTATTTCAACATCAAAATGTATTTTATATATTATTTAGATTAAGATGAGTTATCCACATCTACATGTAAAGATGTGAGTGGTTGTTCATCATTGCCCAGCGACCTAACTTGATGACTATTAGATTAAGACTTGATGTTTTGTTTGATAAAAGAGGTCAATATTTTATATGCATAAAGGGGTTAAGATTTAATATTTTAAGTAACTTTCAACCTATGGGCAAGTGTTGAGCTAAATAGATACAACATCCGCTTAAAGGCTCATTAAAAAAATAATTTTTAAGAGTTTACTATAAAAATAAAACTTTTAGCACACAGTTTTAAGATATTAATTAAAACCTTCAGCAAATAATAATAAATAGAAAATAGTGAGAATCAAATTCAATAAACAGAATACCTGAAAAAAAAAAAGGATTGGTTGATTGTTTCCACTTTCTATCCTTTGGTCACATGGATCTCCAACGGATACGAAGTCGTTGTTGAAAAAGAAACAGAAATTCAAAGTCTAGATTTTAATAACTGTTGTTGAATCAATTTTAACTCCAACGACCAAAGAAATGGTTTAAAGAGTCAAAATAGAATTCAATAGAAAGCATGAGTTGGATTAGTATTCAACAGCTAATTACTCGTTCAGAATCAGCTGTGATCTAGATGCACATAATTAAAAACATTTTTTCCATCGTTTTTTAGCTGGCAAGTGAACACTGCTACCTGTATTCTTTATAATATTTATAGTTTTAAAATTTTCTACTAAACATTATTGATTTTAACGGATATGCTGTAGTTAACAAGTATTATTTGCCTCATTCATTATATAACTTGACTTTTTTATCCCAATGGACAAACTTATGAGCACTAAATGAAGCACAAGTTTAATTTCAGAGGAAGCGGTTAGTTACATCTTTAATTATCACCTTATTATAGTTGATTATTCCAAGAATAATAATTTGCATGAATAAAGATTATATATATTCTTACAGTAATTCGATTCGATTGGTTCTGGTTCACTATGAATTTACTTAGTGAGTTAACCTAATCCGTTTTATTTATCAACGAACAAAAAAATTGAATTTAGTCTGACTCACCACACATTGGTAGGTTAAACGGTTGACTCAATCATTCACTTAATTACAATTTTTTTTATAATTCAAATAAAATGATGCTAAATTTTAAAGACAATTCAAAACAAAAAGAACCAAACAATTTAAATATAATCGAAAAATAAAACTTCTAAATGAATTAATTTTATATATTTTTATTTATTTATAGTATTAGAGTCTTAAATAAATAAATTCATAATATATTTTTCTTTTTCTTCGTTACAACAAAACAAAAATATATAAATAATAATATTAAAATATAAATTAATAAAATAATTAAATTAAATTAGAAATCAAGTGACTCACCTTGATTCACCACCCGGAGGAATTGAATTATAAACCAGATTAAAAGTTGATCTGTATTAAAAAATACATTATTTTAAACCCGATCTAATATGAGTACATTGATGGACCGGATTCACTGTCATATTTTTAAGCACTATTCATGTGATTTTTTATTATTATAATTATTGTTATTTAAGTAAAAAATAATGAAAATGGAAGTGAGAGACAGTAGAATAAAAGGAAAAGGAATGAAATGGAAAATAAGGAGAAAAAGGCAAACACAGGAGACAAATGCTAACATTGGTTGCTTGGGATGAATCCAAGGCATTTCAGATTTCAACATCCCACCGACGACTTGCTAGTTGTACTTCAGGAAGTGGAACCCACCTCATCACAGCAGCAATGGGGCTCCACGTGTTCACATCGCAACGGCAATATAAAAAACAAAATGGGTATGAAGAAGGAGGAAAGCTGTCCACGTCACCGTAAGCCGTACGCGTCGCAGAGAATCCCTACCCTTCCTGCAGATACAGAGAGTTTGGGTAGGCGGTAGCTATTGGTATTAGAGTTTACAAGAACAGACTTTTGTATTTCTCTTCTCTTCTCTGTTTCTCTCTCTCATCGCAGATCTGAGAGTCTCACAGATCACAGGGTTCCACGGAGTTCACGCATTTGGACCCTTTTATTCTCCGCTGCTATTCACCCGAACGCCACGCTCCAATAATCTAGCTCCGAATCCCTCCAATCGGATCCCTCTACCCGATTTCACGCGGATCTAGGTGCTCAGGTAAGTCCTGAGGATTTATCAATTCAAACTGAACGGATTTCTGGTTTTCCAAAATTTGTTGATTAATTCAGCGAGGGTTTAGTGTGTGAGTGAGTAAGGTTGGGGTTTGCGATGGCTCCCACGACGATCCGGAAGGCGATTGGGGTGGTGAAGGACCAGACCAGCATAGGGATTGCGAAGGTCGCCAGCAACATGGCGCCGGAGATGGAAGTCGCGGTTGTCAAGGCCACCAGCCACGATGACGACCCCGCCAGCGAGAAGTACGTCAGGGAGATCTTGAACCTCATGTCGCACTCGCGGGGCTACGTCCACGCATGCGTCTCCGCGGTGTCCAAGCGTTTGGGGAAGACGCGCGACTGGATTGTGGCGCTCAAGGCGCTCATGCTCGTACACCGGCTCATGAACGAGGGTCCCCCTCTGTTCCAGGAGGAGATCCTTTACGCCACCCGCAGAGGAACACGGCTCCTCAATATGTCTGATTTTAGAGACGAGGCTCACTCCAGCTCCTGGGATCACTCGGCTTTTGTGAGGACCTATGCCATGTATCTTGACCAGAGGCTTGAGTTGATGCTGTTTGATAGAAAAAGCACCGCCGCCGGTGCCGGTGGTGGTAGTGTTGGCGGCGGCGGTGGTGCTGATGATAGGTTTGGCGGAAGGGACAATTTCCGGTCGCCGCCGTATGACTACGGTGGTGGGGAGTATAGAGGGGAAGGTAGCTATGGGTATGATAATGGGATGAGGAGGACGAGGTCTTTTGGGGACATGAGTGAATCGGTGGGCAGGGGAGATGAGAGGAGTGTTGTGAGTGTGACTCCTTTGAGGGATA